TCCTCCTCTTCCTCCTCCCCCTCCTCCTCCTCCTCCTCCTCCTCCTCTTCCTCCTCCTCCTCCTCCTCCTGTCTGCACACCCGGAAGAAAGGCGCCGGCTGCCAGCGGTGGTTGGTGTGCACGCCTCGGTGCCTCAGTGAGCTCTGGCGCCGCCGTGGGGCATCCCCCGCGGCGGCCCAGAGTTAGGGCCACGGAAAAGCTAACTGCGATTCTCGCAGCACACTCAGAACATGGAGAGGCTAGCGCTGGTGTGCTATCGGTGAGCGTGGAGGCACGCCTGGTGGCTTGCTTCGGCCCCAAGGTGAGGAGGCGAACGGGCCTGATCGGTCTGTGGTTTTTGGGATCTGCCAGACAATTCCTGAGCGCTATGCGGGACATGCGCAAAGTTGGCGACGCAGTGATGCAGCGCCGCGATTCTAGTAGCGCGGGCAGTCCCACGGTTGACGTCGGCAAAATGACTGGCAACAGCGAGGCGTTGCGTGGCACGATTCCGCTCGGTGGTTTGTACTGGAGTCATTCGGATGCTTTTACCCTGGTGGGTGGTGCTGGGGCCGTAAGGCACCGTGCCCTGGCGGGACGGGGTAGCGGCGTGTTGGCGAAGCGCGCTGAGTTGAGGGCCTTAGGGCCTGGGCACGCGGCGGCGCTGTCCAGCCCGTCGGGCTGTGGCGACGGCGCTGGCCCGCCCAGGGGGGCAGTCCGCCGCAAATTTCGCGCGGGTCTTCTCTCAGGTCGTTAGCGCCTGGGGCCGGGGTCCTGGTGGCCACCCACCTCCAGAGGCATCGTCAACTCGTGCCTTCTCGCAGTGGCCCCCCACGGCGCCCCGCGCCGCCCCGTCGTTCTCACGACGTCGCGGTGCGCAGCGTGTTTTGCCGTCGCGCTGTTCGACGCGGCAAACCTTCCCACGCTCGCCGTCGTGGTGCTCAGCGTGTTCACGCTTGCGTTGCCATGCCGTCTCGTCGCGCTGATCAACGCCGTGGTCCTCGGTTCGTTGGTGCTGCTCAGCGTCGAGGTGCTAGTCGCAGACGAGCCGTTCACGGACGCGGTGCTCATTACTTTGCTCGCCTCGTTCGTAGATGTGAGACTGTTGATGCTGGGCTCTGTGACGATGCGCAACGCCTTGGTGCTTGACCCCGACGTTGTGTACAGTGACAGTGTGCTGGTCCCTGACGCGCTGCTCAGAGACGTGGTGCTCGTTGCGCTGGTCGCCTCACTCGTTTGTGTGAGGCTGTTGGTGCTGGGCCCCGTCGCACTGCTCAGCGTCTTGGTGCTCAGCCCCGTCATGTTGCTCAGTGCCGAGGTGGTGGTCATGGGCATGCTGCTGTAAGACGTGGTGTTCGATGCGCTGCTCTTTTCACTAGTGCGTGCGAGGCTGCTGGGGCTGGGCTCCGTCGTAGTGCTTGATTTCCTGTGCTGCATGATGTCTGCGCTGGTCCCGGACGTGCGGCTCAGTGACTCGATGGTCGTATCGCTCGAAGATTTGAGGCTTGTGGTGCTGGGCCCCGTCTTGGTGCGCAGCGTCGGGGCGCCTGATTCCGTCGTTTTGTTCAGTGTCAGGGCGCAGATCGCTGACGCGCTGCTCAAAGCCGCGGTGCTCGTTGCACTGCTCGTCTCGCTCGTGGGAGTGAGGCCAATGATGGCAAATTCCGTCGTGCTGCTGATCGTCATGGTGCTCAAGTCCGTCGCCCTGTTCAGCGTCGAGGCACTGATCACGGGCGTGTTTCTGCAAGTCGTGGTCTTCGATGCACTGTTCGTCTCAATCGTAGTTGCGAGGCTGCTGGGACTGGATCCCGTTGCGCCGCTCGCCGCCGCAGTGCTTGATTTATTGTGCTGTACGGTGTCAATGCGCTGGTCCCTGACGTGCTGCTCAGCCACGCGATGGTCGTCTCGTTCGAAGATCAGAGGCACGTGGTGCTGGGCCCCGTCTTGATGCGCAGCGTCGAGGCGCCTGATCCCGTCGCACTGTTCAGTGTCAAGGCGCAGGCCGCTGATGCGCTGCTCAAAGCCGCGGTACTCGTTGCACTTCTTGCGTCGCTCGTGAGAGCGCGGCTGCTGATGCCAAATCCTGTCGCACGGCTGAACGCCGTAGATCTCAATTCTGTCGCGTTGCTCAGCGTCGACGCGTTGGTCGCAGACGCGATGTGTCACAGACGTGCTGCGTCATTTACGCGCTCACCGTCGTAGCGCTCGATTCCGTCGTGCTGCGCGGGGTCGCGATGGTCCCAGACTTGTTCCTGCAAGACGTGGTGTTCGACTCACTCGTAGGTGCGTGGCTTCTCATGCTGGGTCCCGTCTTGGCGCGCAATGCCGCTATGCTTGGTCTCGTCGCGCTGCTCAGTGTCGAGGCGCTGGTCCCTGACATGCTGCTGAAAGACGTGGTGCTCGTTACTCATTCCACTCGTAAATGCAGCGCTGTTGGTCCTTGGTCCCGTCGTGCTGCTCTACGCCGCGATGTTCAGCTCCGTAGCGTTATTCAGCATTGAGGTCCTGGTCACTGACGTGCTGTTGAAATGTGTGATGTTCGAAGCACCGCTCGTCTCACTCGCGGGTGTGATGCTGCGGATGCTGGCTGCAATCGTTGTGCACGTCGTGGTGGTGCTCGACTCCGCGGTGCTTCCCAGTGTCGCTGGGCTGGTCCTGGACGTCCTCAAATAGGTAGTGTTCGTCGTACTGGCTGTCGCGCTCTTCGATGTGGAGCTGCCGGTGCTGGGTCCAGTCGAGCTGCTCAACGCTGTGGTGCTTAGCTCCTTCACTGTTCACGTTGCCGATGCGCAGATCATGCACGTTCTGCATGAAGGCGCGGTGTTCGATCCACTGTGCGTCTCGCTCGTAGGTGCGAGGCTGTTGAGGCTGTGCTGCACAGTGTCACGATGGTCCTGGTCGTGTTGCTCGAAGGCGTGAGCCTCGTTGCGCTGCTCTTCTTCCTCGTAGATGTGGGGACTGCTGATGCGGGATCCCGTCTTGATGCGCAACGTCGTGATGTTTGGTCCCGCAGTGCTGCTCAGCGCCGGGGTGCTGGTCATGGACACGCTGCTCGCTGCGCTGCTCGTCTCGTGGGCTGGTCGCGACCATGAGGACGAGGAGGATTAATTATACAGCGCCTGCACTCGCCCGAGGCGAGATTCTGCCAGCACGCGCCCGAGCGGAGCTTGCTAAAGTGCTTCTTCTGCCGCGGACTTAACCCCCCGGATGTTCGCAAGCCCCGTCGGTGCCGCAGTCGCTGGCGCGACAGCTGGCATCGGCGATGCGAGCTCAGTCGCTGGCGCGGTCTTGCCCAGTCGGGCCTGGTGGGTCAGCCCAAATCCCCACAGTCGACAAGGCTGACGTCTGCGTTGACATGGGCCCTGACGTTGAAGCACTGGTTTCTTTCACCCGCTTGTCCTCCTCAGGGAGGTTCGGCTTCCGAGAGGAGCGAGGGATCAAACTCGACGCGCGCATGGCGGCAGCATTGCCATTACTCAGGCGGACCACCCAGTTCTGGTTCTGATCCCCTGTGCGGCCAATGACCGTGCCGCGCTTGCCGTCAGTGGGGCGCCGCCACCTCGGTGCCTTCCCGGGTGGGTGGAGGCGCGAGTGGAAGGGGAGAGTTTGGTGGTGTCGGGCAGCGCGTCGGCCCAAGTGGACCTTAGGTTTGCACGGGTGGGCCTGGGCACGCACGCTACCTGGCGCGCTGTTCGGCAGGTCCACCTCGTCGCAGGGGTCCCTAACGTCGTCCGAATCGGCAGCTCGCGTGAATGCTGTCGCGGGGGCTGGTGGCGTGGAATGTGGTTGTGCTGTCGGTGACGTTTGCCGCGCCGTGGGCGTCGCTGAGGCTACGCCTAGGTTCGCCCTGGGCTTCACCCTGGTGTACCAGTAGGGGTTGGCGCTGGCTGCAGCGCCGGGGTCCAGGGTCCTCTAGCGGCGATTACCCCCCCACGGGGCAACTGCTAGGAAAATAACGACGGAGTACCAATGATCGTCGATCAGTGCTTTGGACAGGGCGGTGGATGCCACTGGTGTGTGAGATCCCGTGGTTGGCCCGCTCGAGTGTAGGCGCGATCAGGACGTCCGAGTTCGGTGGGCGTATCGAGGCTGGTGATAGGGACTGTGAAGTTATCCTGGTGGATAACGGCCATGGCCATGTACCTGGTCACGGCTGATGCCCGTCTTGCGCGCAATTCCAAAGTTCAGCTTGGTGTTTTGTGCAGTTGATCTGAAATTGCCCGCACAATTTCATCAGTTCGCTCCTGAGTCGAGGCTGGTTGGGGCGGTGTTGCTGGTTAGCGGTCTCGAGGTCGGTGCGGGCGCTGGTGGGCAAGCTCGTTGTAGGCTGCAGCAGCCCCGTCTGCGCCGCGTTTGCTTCGGAGAACAGCGGTGCGGACCTCTTGTCGCACGAGGAGGCAGTAGGCTTGTCGACCCTTGCCTGGTGGCCTGGGCAGCAGTGGTATGTGACGCACACGGCGAGGGCTCTCAGGAACCATTGCGGCGCGCGCAGGGACGTGGAGGTGACGCGAATCTGTCACACCGCGGGGTGCGGTGTGGCCAGTCTCGCCATGCGCGGAGAAAGCTGAACGTTGAGAGGGGGGCTGCGCGTCGCGGCTGCGCTCTGGGCCCGAGGCCCTCGATCCGAGACTGGGAAAAGAGAGGGAGAGAGAGAGAGAGAGAGAAGAGAGAGAGAGAGAGAAACAGGGAGATGGCGAGGGAGAGGAAGAGGGAAAGGAAGAGGGAGAGAGAGAGAGAGGACAAACAAAGGACAAACAACTAACAACAAACATCGGGAAGTCAGGCCTCCGCTCTGGATTCGTTGTGTTGAGATCATGTACTCGCTCTCGGTTGCCCACGTCGATGATCGAAGGCCGGCGTCTTTGTTTGGCTCGAGGGTCGTGGTTCGGGGCCTCATTGGGACCCCCGGGCCACCCAGACGACGACGAATGGCGACCGACGACGACGGCGACGATGTTGACGACGACGACGACGGCGGCGACGACGACGACGACGACGCTCCTGAGCGGCTTGACGTGAAGGCATGGGCCTCCTGCGCTGTACCTACGGGGAGTACGTGGTGACGTTCTTCTGCCCCGGTGCTGGAGCGGTGCGGGGATGTCAGCGGCACCGTAACGGGTACTCACTAACGGGTAGTTGGGAGATTTGCCGGAAGTTGCCGTTTTTCGGGTCTCTTTCTGTCATTGCAGCGTTGCCCACCTCGGGGAGGGTTGGGTTCGCCGAGTCACTGGCCAGAGTACCCGTTAGTGGAGTCCCCGTGAGAGCGGCGTTGAGGATGGGGGGTCCAGGAAGAAGAGGAGGAGGAAGAGGAGGAGGTGGAGGAGAAGGAAGAGGAGGAGGAGGAGGAGGAGGAGGAGGAGGAGAGGACGGGAAGGGCGAGGAGCAGGAGCGAGGTTGATGGAGGAAGAGAAAGTAGACCCTTGGACGACGAAAAGGAGCTGGAGAAGGAGGAGCATGAGAGAAGGGTGGGGGAAGAGAGCGAAGGACTATGAAGAGGAGGAAGTGGATGATGATGATGATGATGATGATGATGAGGAGGAGGAGGAGGAGAAGGAAGAGGAGGAGGGACAAGAGGAAGAGGGCGAGGAGAGGTGTGCCCTGGTGAGCCCCTGCTCGATCTTCGACCCCTCCCCCCTCGGCTCGGTCGGAAACCTTGGCTCAACGTGTCGCGCCGCCGGTTCTGGCCCACCACGCTTCAGGGCGCGACTTCCTAGAGGGAGGGTTATCCCAAGCTGGGGCTGGGGAGCGGGCCCAGCTGGCTGCTCCCGTTTAACGCGTTTTCTTCTTCCAGGGGCCGTTCGGAGCGATTCTCCTTCCAACCCCACTTTTGCCCCAACCCCACCTTTGTGCCCACCACGCTTCCGTGCGCGACGCGCGGACCTTTCCCCAGTCCCCGTGCGTGAACGTCCCGAGCCTTTCCTGACCTCCCGCCCCGGAGAGCGGAGCGGCACGCCAACCGCTCGCAAGGCATCATGTGACGCCAGGGCCGCCGCGGCGACACGCTAGTCAAGAGTTCCCGACAGCAGTCGCTCCTCGGTCCCCAAGGCGTCAGCGGTCCGAGCCTTTTCCGGGCCTCCCGCCACGCCCAGCGGAGCAGCTTGTTGAATCCGCTCCCTGACAGGCGATGTCATGGTTTTCTTGGTCAGTTGGGAGCCCCAAGAATCTGGACGCCCGAGATGGGTACGGAAGGAATGGGTACGATGCCCAACAGCAGTTCTTGTTCATTTTGAACAGGATTCGCTGTCCACGCCGCCGCGGCCTGTGTCCATTCGAGACAGAAGGCTGCCTGCCCAACAGCGGCCGCTGTTGGTTTGGGACAACATTTGTTGTTGGGCATTGTACCCATTCTTTCCGTTCGGCATACGTTTGTTGGTGCGTTTCGTGCGACACGCTATCTACGTTTCGGTGCGACACGCTATCTACTTCCTGGTCCTCCAGCGTCAACGTCCCGAGCATTTCCGAGCCTCCCGCTTTTCGGAGCGGGGCGACACGCTATCTCCGCCTGCAGGTCACAGCGTGTCGCCGGGGCCGCCGCCGCGACACGCTGTCCAAAAGCTCCCGACCGTAAAGCAGAACGCCCTCCGAGCGAAAGCCAACCCAGCCGTTCTTTCTCCTCCTCCTCCTCCGACGACGACGACGGCGAAGACGACGACGACGCTCTGCGGATGTCCCATGGGGGTTGGGTGGTTGGGTGCTGCGTAGGCTGTCGCCGTCAACGACGACGACAACGACGACGAGGACGACGGCGACGACGGCGACGGCGACGGCGACGTCGAATGCTCCCAAAGCAGAACGCTCCGAGCGAAAGCCAGCCCGGCCGTGAGGCCCTCCGCCCCGAGAGGTCCACGCCGCGCCCGCGCAGCCGCCGCGGCCCCCGGCCGGCGCCGGCGGCGCCGCCGCGGCCGCGCCTCCTGCCGCCAGCGTGCCGCCAGGACCCCGCGGCGGCCGGCCCGTGGGGCGCAGCGCGTCGGATCGGGCGGGCGCAGGCGCCCAGGCCTCGAACGTACATTGCCGTTTTTTATACATGCTGCGCGTGCGGATCATGTATTAAAAGTGCAGGCATTCAGCATTAAAAACAACGATGAGTTCATGTATAAATTCATTCATAAATTAATCATGTGTTAGAAATCCGTTTTTTTGTTTTAAAAAAAAACCTATGTATTAAAAATTGCCATGTAGTGAAGTTCCTCGAAAGGTCGCGGGCCTCGGCCCATGCCGCCGATGCGGATGCCACCCCTGGGAGGTCAAGCTCTGGCTTTTGCCCGGGTGCGGAAGCCGGGTTCTCTCGGCGGAGTCCCGCTGCATCCGGCTCGGCAGCCCGCGTCAGTTGGCCTATACTCGCGGGGGAGTGTAGGCATCGTTTGGGGAGTTCGGGGAGCATCCGTGGGCCAGGGGCTTCCTGAGTGTTCCTCGGGGTCTCTGGGGATGTCTCTCGGGCTCTCTAGGAGGCCTCTGGGTACGTCTTGGGAGCCTCCTGGCGGCTCTTGGTGTATCCCAGGGCGCCTTGAGAATGGTGAGCTCTGTGCGACATTGATATCACGCCTGTCTCCGTGCCCTCTCTTGTAGCTTTTCGGCGCAGAGGATTCAGATGCAAGCTGCCGCGCCCGTCCTCGCGCAAGTCGCGGGATACGCTGTCGGCTGGTGGAGCAGCGGCGGGCATCGCTGCATCTGTTCGTGTGAGGTCTCTGGCAGTGTGGACCGCGACATCATCGGTGTCCTGCAGCGCCAACTGGATCGGCGTGGCCCAGACCAGCTGACCTCGCCGCCGCCGACCACCTGTCACTGCGACGCAGGCGCGACCTGGCTCGGCACCGCGGCGGGCTTCGCTGTGGGCGTGGTGGTCGGCGTGCTCCTGTGTCTGGTCGTGTACTTCCGCGCTGCTGCTCGTCGCCCAGATGACTACACATCCGCCAGCGCCGAGCTGGCTGCGATCACTGATTCCGGGAGCCCGCCTGTGCGTGAGGTACCCGGACGAGGACTTCTGGCACGAGAGGCTTCTTTGCGGGCGCGTACGGGCGGACGGGTGATCATGGGTGGTCCTGACACCGGCTGAAGACCTTCATGAGGAGGACTTTGTGGACGCCGCCGAGATCTTGGCCTGTGGGCCGAAGGGCGGCACCCCAGTGAAGTTATACGGCAAACATCTGTTCAAGATGGAGCACCGCTCCAACAACCACTACTCGGACTACATGGCGGAGGGGCTGAAGCTGGCTGATGAGTGGGTCAGCGAAGGAGGCGGTGGTCCTGCCCCTCCCACTGGGGCGGGGCCCTTGGCCCCATTGGCCGACGTGGACATGGAGCGCAACCCCGCGACGAAGTGGGTCACGCTCGAGTCCATGTTCGGCTACGCTGCGGGCGACCCGATCGACGTGGTAGGCCAGCCCTTCCTTCGCTCGGGCGATCGTGGCGTGCTGGAGCTGGCGGACGGGCCCATTGCTGTGGGCATCGCTGACACCGCGGTCACAGGGCTGACGCCACGTGCGGGGCCGCTGGACATCCGCCTGCTGGGGACAAGCTCGGACACGGCCTTCGTGCGACAGAGTTTTGCCCAGCGCGCACAGCTCCTCGAGACGGGTGACAACCAGAAGTGGACGGCGCAGGGGCCTCCGACCACGCGTTGGGTCTGCCTCGCGCACGTTGAGGGCAACGCCACGCCCAAGCAGCGACACTTCTGGTGGCGTCAAGTCCTAGGGCTGGTGTCAACAGACCCTGGGGTCGAGGAGCATAGTTTCTTGTGCGAGCTGATAGAGACCGCTGTGGTCAGGGACGGCAGGCATCAACGTGGCGGCCCTGGAATCCTTCGAGACGGTCTCGAGGCGCTTCCAGCTGTGGGAGGAGTTCTACGCGGAGGCGCTGCGGATCGCGGAGGCCGGCGACCACGGGGACGACCTGGACGAGAGGAGGCTCTTCCTGGGGAACCACCGGAGCAAGGGGCTCGCGATGGTGTCGCCGGAGTAGGAGCAGCACGTTGCCACGAAGCTGCAGGAGGAGAGTGCGGTGCTCAAGGAACGCCGCAAGGGTCGCGAGGAGCGGAGGCTTGCTCGCACGGACCCGACGCGCCCATCTACTTCTTCAGGCTCTGGCGCCGCCGCATCTGGTGCCCAGCAGCCTCCACGGCAGACCCAGCCTCCAGGACGTGGGGGGGGGGGCAGGGTCGTGGGCGGAGCTGACGCCCCGCCGCTTTCTTCATCCGGCTGTCCACCGTCGCCCCCGGGCGGTTGGGCTTTTCCCACAGGGGAGGCGCACTTGTGGCGGTGGTGCGCTTGGCGTGTATCGAGATCATGGAGGTGCAGCGTGACGTGCTGCCGCTGCCACTGGGGGTTGCCCTCAGTCAGGAGCTGCGTGGAGGGGTTGCTGGAGCTGTGCAGCCGCGCCCACGTCGACTCCGACAGCTGCGTGCACAAGAGAGGTGGCTACGTGAGGGCATTGAGGCCTTGAATGAGCTCGGGGGTCGCGGTGAGACAGCGGATCCTCATCGTCGTCTCTCACTACCGCAACAGCTTGCGGTTCGGCACCTTGCTCGTTCTCATGGCCGTGTGGGCCCTCCGCCTCCCGATTTTGATGCCCACGGAGCGTTCAGGGCGCTGCAGGGTTCGAGGTGCGGTTATGCGGACTCGCTGACCGATGGCAAGGTTGCTGCTTACAGACGTGGTGAAGTTTCACTACCGCAGGGCAAGGCTGGAGGCGTGTCTCTTTTGAACTGCCTTGGGCCTGAGCTGCAGTCAGTTTTGGTAAGTGGTCAGGGTCTCCTTCGCTCTGATCGCGATCGCGACAACGTTCTTTTAGATGCTCCCAGGTTGCCGGCTATGGACGTCAACTTGGGCAAGGGGGGCGCCGACTACGGGCACTTCCTGGGGGAGCTGTATAACCTCGGGGCTATCGAGGTGCGCGAGTCGCCGCGGGAGGTCTGCGGGCTCTTCTTCGTTCCCCGCAAGGATGGGCGACTTCGTCTTATATGGGGCACGAGGCGCTCCAACGCACGCTCTGAGGTGCTGCCTTTCACCGCGTTGCCGTCGGGGGAGGCTCTGGTTGCTCTTGAGATTGACGAGTCGATCGCTGGGCAGAGGACAGTGGCACCTAGCGCGGATGTGGAGGTTTGCTTCTATCAGTACGAGCTGCCGTCCAAATTCCGCCCGTTCTTCGCTCTTCAGTCGGTTGACCTTCGGTTTCTGCCTCGGCATGTGCGTGACCAGGTCAGCCAGCAGGCCACCAACGGCCACAGTCAATTTCAATCTCGAGTTGTACCCATGGGATGGGCTTGGCCGTGCACCTCGTGCAGCAGGCGCACATGTCGTTGCTGAAGGATGTGAGGCCGCTCGACTCTTGGGTGCTGGACAAGGTTCCGGCGGAGCCGATCAGCGACCCTCACTTGGCTAAGATACTCTACATAGACAACTTTGCGTCCATCGGCCCCACGCGAGCTCGGCCAGACGCGGCCACTGCTGATATGATCACGTCGTTGGCGGATGCAGGGGTCAAAGCTGACATGGACCCGAGCTCGGGGACGTTTGGGGTGCACGACCTCCTTGGCTTCTCGTTGGTCGAGCACCGGGCTACTTGGACCCTCAGCGCTCGCAAGTTTTGGAAGGGGCTCTGGACTACATGATTTCGTCCAGTCAGGGCTTCACGGGCACGGAGATGGAGCGGCTGCTAGGACACCTGGTCAGCTGCTTCATGCTCCGACGCGAGTTGCTCTCGCTCCTGCGCGCGTCGTACACCTTCGCCCAGGAGACCAAGCTGCGACGGGTGCCTCTCTGGCCTTCGGTCCGCAAGGAGCTCCGGTGGTGCCGCGCGTTGCTGCCGCTGGTGACCGCGGACATGTCACGGCCTTGGTCTCCTTTGATCACCTCTTATGATGCGAGTCCCTGGGGATATGGTGTTTGCGAAGCGTCAGTCTCGGCATCACAGTCAGGGCAGATCGGACGGCTGAGCGACAGATCAAGGTGGAAGGGGCTGTTGGCTACCAATCGACGGCCTCGGGATGACCTCATGGGTCTTGGCGACGTCGATGACGATTTCAAGATCCCACGAGATAGGGGCACGATCCTCTCGGCTGATGCGGTCTCGGGCTTTACCGAGGTCGATCCTGAATTTCTGAGAAACGCCGCCTGGGTCACGGTCGCAGCCAGGCCCGCTTCTGCTAGCCTGCCTGTTCATATGCTGGAGGGATTTGCTCTGCTCCATGGAGTGCGGCGTGCCTCTCGAAACAGTCAGTGTCGTTCTCGTCGGCTCGTCTTCTTGGGGGACAAGATGAGTCTTATATGTGCGCTACGTAAAGGGCGGGCTACAGATTTCAGGCTTAACTCTATCTGTCGGGAGGTCTTGGCTATCAGTCTGGCGTCGGATTTCAAGCTGGCCCACAGGTGGATCCCCTCTGAAAGAGATGCTGCTGATACGCCGTCTCGTCGGTGCATGCCGAAGTGGAACAAGGGCCTGTCGCCGGCTTCTAGGCTCAAGGATGCTGAAGGTAACGCCTCCTCGCCGTCGTTCAGCCACGCAGGCGGGGCTTCCAGCTTCGCGTCAGATATCGCCGCCTTCTCGCCCGAGGCCTTCGTTCGGTGCGCTTGTGGCCGCTGGAGATCCTACGGGGTCAAGCGCTGCCACCCAGCCGCAGAGCGATGTGCCGCTCGCCTGGCCGCGCGCGTCCGCCTCGGCGCGCCGCCGGGGCTCGGGCCTCCGAGAGCAACGGCATCACGTGGAATTGCAGCGACTACTACATTGCTTGGTGCCTCGTCTTGCTGGCTTGCAGGCCAACCGCATTCGCGAGGCCACGCAGCTGGCCTACCTGGGCATCCTCGAGCAGCTGGCCTTCTTCATGCAGTGCCGAGAGCTCCCGCGCTTCTCGGCCAAGGTGTGGTCGACTTCATCGAGGGCCGACACGACGATGGCCACTCAAGGGAGGCGACCGTCAAGGTCATCTACGCGCTGCTGTGGGCATTGCCGCATTTGGGAGGGCCTGCTCGGGCGCTCTTCGCTCAAGCCTTCGCATCAATGCGGGGGTGGGCGCGGCTCAGCCCTCCTGCGTCGCGGCCGCCGCTGCCCAGGCAAGCCGCCTACGCCATCGCCGCGAAGCTGCTGGACTATGGGCAAGAGAGGGCTGCACTGGGGTGCTTGGTCATGTTCGAGACGTACTGCCGCGTCGGGGAGTTGCTCGCGTTGCGAATGTTCCAGATCGTGCCGCCCGACCGCCACTCGGGGGGGGCGGCAGGCTGCCCCACCATTGTTCTCAATGCCTCGGAGCTCCAAGTCCCCTCCAAGACAGGGGAGATGGACAGCAGCATCGCCTTCGATCTTCCAGAACACCGCTGGGTGGGGATGCTGTTGGTGCTGCTCAAGGAGGCCTTCGCTTCGCAGCCCATGGAGCACGTGGTCAATGTCTCGTGCGCTGTCTTCCTGTCGCTGCTCGATCGGTCGGCTCATGATCTGGGCGTTCAGGTCCTGCAGCCCACGCCGCACTGCTTCAGGCACGGTGGGGCCAGCCACGATCGAGCAGCGGGGCGACGCCCATTGCAGGAGGTCCAGCGCCGAGGTATGTGGAAGGCGCACAGCAGTGTGGCCAGGTACGACAAGCACGGGAGAGTCGGAGTACAGCTGCAACTGCTGCCTCAACATGTGCGAGACCGACTCGAGCATCTCGTGCATCGCGTGGAGCACGACTTCAGGCTGCGCTTCACCAGGCTCTTCGGCCAGGCAACCGGCTCAGGCTCTTCCTCGAGCTCTTCGCAGGCCCTGGCGAGCTCACGGCGTCCATGAGGCGCAAAGGCATGGCGGTGTTGGCATTCGACGTGAACCAAGGTCCGCATATGGATCTGCTGAACGACGACGTCTACTCCCGCCTGAGGGGTTGGATATTGTCTGGAGTAGTGCTTGCAATCTGGTCTGGGACTCCTTGCGGAGGCTTCTCACGCGCTCGGCGTGGGCCTCCGGGCTCTCGGCTCCCTCATGCCCTGAGGAGCCCAGGGATCCCTCAAGGTCTTCCGAACCTCGAGGGCCGCGACTTGGAGACCCTGCAGCAATCCAATGTGCTCGCTGCAAGAGCTCTCGGTCTGCTCCAACTTGCTGCCGCACGTAATATTCCAGGAGGCGAGGAGAATCCAAGCACCAGCTATCTGCGGGACTTGCCGTCCCGCCAAAGATTCTCGGACAAATTCTGCACCACTGACTACGTAGTAGATTATTGCGCCTGTGGGCGCCCTTTCAGAGCAAGAACGCGACTCAGAATTTGTGACAGGCACGCCTCACGTAAGTTGCCTCGTCTGCGCTGCCATGGCCGTGGCGTGTGCGACTTTTCAGGCAAGCCACATCTCAACCTGTCAGGGACCACAGTAGGAGGCGGGTTCTTCACAGCCGCCAAGGCGGCATACCCTCGCCAATTGGCAGACATCTTGGCCGATGACCTTTTCATGGCCTATGCTCTTCGTCGAACTTCGAGAAAATGGAATCTTCTACGGTGACCCAGTTACAGTGTTGGATGTGGGTATGTTGTTCTGAATATGGGTTGATTTGAGCGTGGCTCGTCACGCTCTCCATCGACTCAGCTGAGCTCCTGTCATGCAGCAAATGATTGGCAAAGAAGTTATATCACGGTGAGCTCTGTGCGACATTGATATCACGCCTGTCTCCGTGCCCTCTCTTGTAGCTTTTCGTCGCCCGCCCGTCCCTGCCCTTCCTGCCTCACTCTACAAGAGCATCGATTTAAGAACTGTCGTGTGCACGTGCAGACCTGTGATCCTTGCAGGGTTGATTTGTGCGTGGCTCGTCACGCTCTCCATCGACTCAGCTGAGCTCTTGTCATGCAGCAAATGATTGGAAAAGAAGTTATATCAACTCTTGGGGGCATCTTGGGACGGTTTGCAGGCCTCGTGGCGGTTTTCAAAGCTTCCCGGGCCACTTGGGTCTTTCTTGATTGCCTCTCGTGGCGACTTGGGGGCCGCCAGGGGGTATCTTGGGGGTTTCTTGGGGTCTTTTGAAGGCTTCTTTGGGGTCCCTTGCGGGCCTCTTGGAGACCTCTTGGGTTGTCTTAGAGCTATATTGGGGACATATTCCGCCATCTTGGGCGGTCGCAAACCCAAACAGGACAGAACTCGAAAGCCCTTCAAAACCTTAGGGCTATCTTTACTGTTCGGCTCCTCGGGCCCTCTTGGGTCGTCTTGGGAGCCTCTCCGGCCGTTGTAAGGCCATCGTGGAAGCCTTTTGAGCCGTCTTCGGCCACCTTGGGCCGTCTTGGTATCACTTCGGCTGTCTTGGAAGCCGTCTTGAAGGTCATCTTGGCCGTCTGGAGGCCGACAAGACCGCCGGAGGGCAAATTCAGCGGGGGAGGGGTTCAAGGAAGGCTTGCGGCCAAGGGGGGATTCGGCGCCCGCAAACTAGGAAGAGCATGCCAGGCATTAGAAAAAAACATTCTAACACGCTCAGTCCATGCAGTGGACATGTAGTGGAGACAGTCTTGTGAGCAGAGAGAACTGGGATAGTAGCAATATCAGGTTGACCAAGCAGAGCATGAAAATCATATACTCTGGAGGGGGTTGGAGCGAGCTTGCAGAACAAACGGGCTGCATAGGGAGGGATATCTCTAGGGAGAGCGGAATCTGCAGCGGGAGAAGCACGAGCAGAGGGACGGGGGCATGTGAAACAGAGCGCGTGCACGCGGAACGAAGAGTCACCAAGCAGAGTGGGTGGAGCAGCGGTTGCAGAAAGGGCGGGGGGAGTGCAGTCCACGAGAGCTCGTAACCGACGCAAAAGCGCTGCAAGCGCGGGGGTGAGTCTTTATATCGGCGATTCGTCACCGTGCGGCCCGCACGTGTTTCGTCAGAGTTACCGGTCTGTGGCTTACCTCCGTTGTGAGATTGCCATTCTGGCTTAATCAGTTGCTCATCCAGTTCTTGGGTTACCGCCCCCCACCGCTCGGTTTCGCATCATGAGTCATGAATTAGTTGGTGTGTGCTCCCTCTCTCTGTTCTCTCTCTCTCTCTCTCTCTCTATACATACATATATATATATGTATTCCCTCTCTCTCCCTGTTTTTCTGTCTTTCTATGCCACTCCCTCTCACCTTGCAGATATATGATGGCTCACGTATGCGTTTATATAGAAGCGGATACGTACGTGCATCCACCATCTCTTTCTCTCTCTCTCACTCTCGCTTGCTCCATCTCTCTCTCTCTCTCTCCTCCCTTTTCCTATATGTATGTAGCGTTCTCTTTTTTCTATCTATATATAGTTATATATATATATGTATATCTCCTTCTCTTTCTCACATCGCTCTCTGCCTATGTTTCCATTTCCTTTCCCCTCTATACATAGATGTATCTAGTTGTATATGCGTATCTCTCTCCGTCTGTAAACTTATTCCTCGCCTCCTGTCCTTGCGTGCTGCGTTGCGCACGACCCCCACGCGGGGGTTTTCTTTTACGTCCGTCGTCGTTACCGCCTCCCTGATCAACAGGACAGGGTAACTGCAAGGACGCAGTTCCTGGCGAGCCTTGCTTCAAGGCTGTGAGGTGGGCGATCGAGCACGGCTTCGCTGAACACCCAGAGTGGTGCCTCAGAGGAGGCGGCCCCTACAGTGAATCCCATAACCATTCGAATCCTTCCCTTGCGTTGCTAATGTTCCTCTCACCATACACCTCTTTTTCTTTTTTTTCTCTCTCTCTCTCTCTCTTTCTCTCTCGCTCTCTCCGTCTCCCCTCCCTGCACCCTTCTCTTTTTCTCGCTCTCTCCCTCTTTTCCCTCTCTCGCTCTCCCTCTCTCTATCTCTCCCTTCCTCTCCCTCTCTTTACGTATGTGTATATCAAACTCTCTGCCTTACGATTATCCCTCTCTCTCCATCTGTTTCTTTCGCCCCCCGTCGGCGGATGAGACCGTGGCGATTGGTCGGGCCCGGAGGCCAAGCGTGGGACTGTATCACGACGGGTTGGCGAAATGGAGACGGATACTAGGCGTGGTGGATACGTGACGTGCGGCGATGAGCCCAGACATGCGAGGTCTTGATTATATAATCGCTTCGCTCATTCCGCCGGCCCAGATTGCCTCGCCGCTGTCGGTTGTCGGAGTGTTGTTGTCAATGCGGTGCGATTGGGCGGCTGCCATTTTTCGGAGGCGGTGGGTGGCGGGTCAGAGGCCTCACGGATGTTGGTTGGGCTCTTGTGGTTGGCCTCTCAGGGGCCTTTGAAGGCAATTTTGATGCCTCTTGGGGGCCGTGTAGGGGCCTCTTGGGGCCTCTTGGGGGCTTTTGGGGGCTTCTTGGGGTGCCTCTTGGTGGCCCCTTGGGGCCTCTTGGAGGCCTCTTGGGGCCTCCTGGGGGCCTCTTGGGGCTGAAGGCTGGACTTTTCGGTTCCTGGTCCCCTTCTTGGGCCCCTCTTGGGGCTGTTTTGGGACTCTCTTGGGCCGTCTTGGGCGCCTCTTGGGCTGTCTTGGGGCCATCTTGGGCCGTCTTGGAGCCCTCTTGGGCCCTCTTGGGCCCATCTTTGGGGCATGTTGGGGCATCTTGGGGCGATCTTGTGGGGCTCTTGGGCAGTCATGGACGCTGTGAATCTCCGAACGACGCCTATGTCAGAAATGCACGGTTTCCTGAGGAAATGCTGCGATTGTTGCTTGTTGGGGCCCTCTTGGAGGGCCTCTTGAGTCTCTTTTGGGGCTTCTCGGCGGCGTCTAGGGCCGTCTGGTCTGGGAGACCATCATGGGCGTCTTGGAGCAATCTTTCGGCGACTCGGGGCCCCTTGGACCGTCTTCTTGGGCCTCGTCGGCCGATCTTTCGAGGACTCCAGGGGCTCTTGGACCGTCTGGGCGCTCTCTTGCGGCCGACTTGGGCGCCTCTTGGGCCGTCTGGGGGTCTCCGGCATCTCTGACGGGCACTTGCCCGGGACTTGCCGGGACCTTGGCGGGGTACTTGTCGCGTCGGGGCCCCCAGGGGCCGCCTCGCGCGCGCGAACTTGTTGTATGGTTAACTTGTTACCACCGGAGATCTTAGCACGCCTCTGGCCCGTTGGGCCGGCGGATTTCAATTGTATTGGGTCCGAGGAAGTCCCGACCCTTTCCTCAGGGCTGGCTTTTCATCCCGGGTGGTTTTTGGACGACCCCAGGGCCTGGCGAGGGCCCCCTTCGGCCGAAAACTGCCAACGACCCCCCATCGTGTTGTTCTGGCGACGCGAGCATGTCTGGGGGGCGATGTAGATGCGCGACCTGCGGCGATGAGCGAGTGTAGCGAGGCGGCAGCGGGGCGGCAGCGGCAGCCCCCGAGATCGGACTGCGCCACAAAATACAACATCGTACAAACCATCGACCTGCGCCCTGGGCCTGTGGGGCCACGAAACGTGTGAGGGGTGTGCCACAGTGAGGGGGGGACGGGAGGAGCGGGAGGAGGGAGGAGGGAGGGTGGGAGGGAGGGAGGGAGGCAGGAAGCAGGAAGGAGGAACGCGTGGCGCTGTCTTTTCAAAACGAGGACCCAACATCACAGGATAGTCGGGAAATGCAGCATTGTAGAAAACATCGACCTGAGCCCTGGGCCCCCATCTTTCTGGGCAGCTTTCGCACCGCATCGATCTGTGAAGATGTCGGGGCCCGCACCCTGGCAAAATCGAAGCCGGGGGAGGAGGGGGAGGAGGAGGCGGAGGAGAAGGAGCAGGAAGAGGACGAGGATGAGGAGGAGGAGGAGGAGGAGGAGGAGGCGAAGGAGGAGGAGGAGGAGGAGGAGGAGGAGGACGAGGGGGAGCAGGAGGAGGAGGAGGAGGCGGAGGAGGGGGAGGAATCAGGATCTCCGCGGAGCGGCCGCGGCAGCCCGCGGTCGAGCCCGAGGTACCCCAGGCTGTCGGCCTCCTCGCCCGAGGCGGCCTTCCAGGCGCACCTCGCGGAGCTCGGGGAGGGCGGCTGCGCGAGGCCGTGCGCCGAGCCGGCCGGAGGCGGCCGCCCTCTCTTACCAGCTTGATCCTCCTCCTCGTCCTCGTCCTCCTCCTCCTCGTCCTCCTCCTCTTTCTCCTCGTCCTCCTCCGCCTCCTCCGCCTCCGCCTCCTCCTTTTCCTCCTCCTCCTCCTCCTCCTCCTCCTCCTCCTCCTCCTCCTCTTCCTCTGCCCTCGAGCAGTGGCGAAGCGTCCTGGCTCGCCTGTACGTGAGCCCACCAAAGAGTGTCCTAAGAACCTTCTGTGGTCTCCACGAGATGTTCATATAACGTTTCTGGCTGGGATTGTCTTGTTTTAACACATCGTGCTGTTGTTCTAAAAACATGGTTTTTGTTCTTAGAACATTTTTGGGTTCTAAGAACATGGCGTGGTGGGCCTAAGGGAATGCCAGGACGGTCAGTCCCTGCTCAATCCTTGTTCCTAAGTTTCGGATGCAACTTCTGGCAGGTCAAATTCTAACTTTGCCCTTGTCGGGAATCCGCTTTTGTCTGGCTCGATCCCGCTCAATCCGGCGTAGCAGCCCCCCAACGGGGCTTAGTTCTCCCTAGTCCTTCCGACGAGGACCATGCCTCCTAACTGAGCGTCGGGAAACGTAAGACTCGAGCACGCCAGAACTCGGGTTCGCTGACGCCTTTGTGCGGTCCAGTGTTCAGTGGGATGTATGCGGTGGGAGCTCGCGTCAGTCTGGGTCGCATCATTGTCATGGTGGCCTCGTCAAGTCAACCCGAGTCTCCCGAACCTGAATCTTACGTCTCCCCGAGAGTTCGGCATCACCTTGCGTCGGTGTCGATCTCAAGGATCCCCTCAGCTTCTCGGGGCACGTCCCAGAGATTATCATCGCGCTGGGCCTACCGATCTTCGGGATAGTGATCAGTTCGAGGCTGGATAACCACATGCCCCGGATAATAAAGCATACACCCCTTTCACCTCTTCGGCGATCTTGGGCGCCTCTTTGACCGTTTCAGAGCCCTCTTGGACCTTCTTGGGGCCCTCTTATGGGCCTCTTGGACCGTCTTGGGGCGGTCATGGGGGGGTTTGGGGGCCATCTGGGAGCGTTGGAAGCCCGAAAACGCCGCGGGAACGTGAAACACAGAAGACACAAGGAATACTAATGATTGTTGCTTATTTGGGCCCTCTTGGGGGTCCTCTTTGAGCGCTCTCGGGACTTATTTGGGGCCTATTGGGGTGTCTTGGGGCCACCTCGCGCGTCTTGGAGCGCTATTCGGCTGTCGCGGATGCCTCTTGGACCCTGAGTGTGGACCTGTGGTTGGGAGCAACAGGTCTAAGCCGCGGAGCTTGATGGCCCCGCAGGGGGGGCTTGCAGATCCTCGTCCTGGCTTCGTCTTGAGGGCACGAGAGTGGATCCGCTGCCTGCTCGGAGCCCAGCGCCCCGGGCTGCGTCCATCGATCGATGGGGCCCTTCGGCAGGTTCGCGCTGCCTCGGCGTGCGGCTGCGCCGCCTGCGCAGGCGTGCGAGGCAGACCTCGCTCTCTTTGGGGGCCAGCGGGCGCGTTCTCGGGCCCTCTTGGGCCGTCTTGGGGCCCCCTGGCGTTTGGAAACGTCACGCGAGGCAGTCCAGGAGCGAGCGGGAGCGCCCAGGAAATTCGAGAATCTGGGGCCCCAGCCCTTCGAATCGTGTAATCCCGTGGTGCTGAGTACAGAGAGCAGAGGACACATGTGAGCCTGGGGTCAACTTCACTTCGTGCCTCGAGGCACGATGGCAGATACGTCGTTCAGCTGTTGCTCCGCCGTGCTTGCCACGGGGAGTCCGCAGTGGCCGAGGGACCGTCGGTGGTATGCGGTCAGACGAATGCTGGACGTCTGACAAAAAAGTCAGAGCCCGACGTCAGGACTAACGACTTTCCTTAGGGTACTCTTGCATCCTTGTTTCTGCCCCATCATACGGGCGAGCGTCTTTCCTTAGGGTACTCTTGCATCCTTGCCTCTGCCCCATCATAAGGACTAGCGGCTTTCCTCCGGGTACTCTTGCGCCGTGGCTTCTGCCCCATCATCAGTCGGGTCGAACGAAAGGGGGGGGGGGGATAGGGAAAGGGGGGGTTACGAAATCTGCTGCATGCAGCTGGTGTAAGCCCCACCGAGGGGCCCATTCCTCGATACATGGCCGCCTCCGGCGCCGGGAGGCGCCGGGAAAATCGGCTGCGTGAGCTGATTCTCAACCCCCCCCTTTGCTATCCCCCCCCCTTCGCCAAGCCCGAATCAGGACGAACGACTTTCCCTAGGGTGCCCCTGCGTCCTGTCCTCTGCCGCCCGCCCTTCGCCGTGCTCGCTGGCCAGCCCCTCCGGGTGCCCCCTGCAGGGGCGGGCGGCGCGCGTCGGAACGCTCCGTCGGCGCCCAGGGCCCCTGCGTCCTCACCGCCCTTGGCATCGCTCGGACGTGTGCATTTGTTTCTCGGCGACGGCCATCGAGGACCATCGTTGATCATTTGGCGGAAAAAAAACACGCACGAAATCGACAAATGCACGAGGAATGGACGTCCGAGCGACGGCGAGTATATCCTATCCGAGGCGGGGGCTTGTCCAGAACCACCGCCCAGGGGATCGATCTCCACGGACCCTCCCCAGGCGGCGGCTTTGGGTGAAGTCGGCTTCCCGGGGGCCAGGCTATATCCCTACCCAGCGGCCGCTGGGGCACCCAGACGTCGGTTCCTGGGCAGTGGAGGAGGAGGGAGGAGGAGCAAGGAGGACGGAGGAGGAGGAGGGAGGAGGAGAGAGGAGAAGGGAGGAGGAGCGAGGAGGAGAGAGGGGAGAGGAGAGAGGAGGACCTGGAGAGATCCCCGCCTCGCATCGCAGATTTTGACTCTACGATTGCTCGCTGCGCGGCCCCAGAGGCCCCGACCCCGGCTCGGTTGGCGCCGCGGTGCCGCCCGCCTCCGAGGCGTGCTCGTCGTCGTCGCGTCCGTCGACTCGTCGTCGTCGTCGTCGTCGTCGTCGTCGTCGTCGTCGTCGTCGTCGTCGTCGTCGTCGTCGTCGTCGTCGTCGTCGTCGGGGGGGGGGGTCGGATGGCTCCCGAGAGGCCTTGCGGGCCCTCCAGGGGCCCCGCGGTGGCCCTCGGAGGCATCCGGGGGATGTCGTAGGCCTGCGTCGCCAGCCTCCACATGACCTCAAGACCTGAGCGTTGTTTTTTTTTTCTTTGTGGCGAAGGGGCGCTTCTGCTCAGTTTGGAGCCCCAGGACCGCGCCCGGTGGGGGAGTGAGAGGGGGCATGCCTTCTCACAAGGCGACGGTTCTTCTCGGGAGCCCCCTGGCCTACCAGGTGATTGTGGTGACGATGATGGTGGTGATGCTGATGATGCTGATGGTGATGGTGATGGTGATGGTGATGCTGCTGATGATGATGATGATGATGATGATGATGATGATGATGATGATGATGATGATGATGATGATATTGCTACTGGTACTGATGCTGATGCTGATGATAATGATGGTGGGGGGGGCGATGATGCTGATTATGCTTTGATGGTGATGGTGATGATGCTGATGCTGATGTTGCTGATGATGATGTTGATTGTGAGGGTGATAGTGGGGATGGGGAAGGGGATGGTGATGGTGATGGTGATGGTGATGGTGATGACGACGATGGTAGTGGTGGTGGTGGTGACGATGACGATGTCGATGACGGTGACGATGAAGACGATGATGCTGATGCTTGTGATGATGCTGAATATGCAGATAATGATGATGGCCATAATGATCATGATGATCATCGTGATCATGATGGCGCTGATATGGTCATGCTGATGATGGCGATGATGAGGAGGAGGAGAATGAGTTTGATAATGATGCTGATGACGATAACGATGACGATGATGATGATGATGATGATGATGATGATGATGATGATGATGGTGATGACGATGATGCCGACGACGACGATTACGATAATGATGATGATGATGATGATGATGATGATGATGATGATGATGATGATGATGATGGTGATGATGACGATGCAGATGATTATAATGATGATGCTGATGATGATGATGATAATGATGCTGGTGGTGGTGGTGGTCGTGGTTGTGGTGAGGAGGAGGAGGACGAGGAGGAGGAAGCCGAGAGTACTCAATTCTTCGCGTCATGATTCGTTGGTTCACGACTGGCGGGTCTGAAAAGTGGCTGCCATTGCACTCACTGTGGGCTTGTGCCGGTGGCGAATAGCTATTCGCCCTGACTCCACGCCTAGTTCAGGGCAGGTGCTGTTTATTTCGCGGGAGGCCTCTCGTGGCTGTGACGAGGCACTGGCACGCCTCGAGCCCAGAGCCTGGCCCTGGAGGTCCCAGAGGTCCCCGAAGGCTTCCGGAGGCCTCCCTAAAAATACCGAAGCCATCGAACGGCTTCCCGCCTCGATCCTTGACGGTCGAGGGCGAGACTCAACAGTGGCACGCGCAGTGGGGTCTAGCAGTGCAGTTTGGAGGGGGGCAATCTCGGAGAAGTGTCCTTCACGCCACTAGCACCGCGACTGGAGAGCGGGTTCGTTGCTGTGCGACCTCGGTTGTAGGAGGCAGGGGCGCACTTGACAATTGAAGACGGGCGTGCAGCTTGCAAATCTTCGGACGGCGCATGTTCCTCCTGTTCTCTTCGGCGTAAACCGTCTCCGCCCCTTCTCCCAGTCTTGCCCCTCGTCCTCGCGCTTCTCCTGGACCCCTGGCTCAGAGTATTTTGTAGATACACGCGTTTGTTGTCCCTCGGCTTGGTCGTGGCATTCCGCCTGCAGCCCGCCATGAGCTTCAACGACAACATCACCATCCTCAAGGCATGGCCCACTCGTGTCCGATGGATTCGACCAGATACTCCAGATTTCGTAATAAAGGGAGGGGGGTCTCATTTCGGGGCGGGGGGTCTCTTCCAGGCTATCTTGGAGGGCCTGGGGGGTCTGGGGAGGATGTTTTGAGGGTTCTCCCACGGGGGAGGTCTGAAACGGCTTGTCGTGGAGGGTCCAGGCCCCCTCCCTTTTATCACGAAATCTGGAGTATCGATCCTGTCCGGCTCGATTCGATTCGATTCGATTCTGGCACTCCGTCGATCCGTTGCGGGCCGAAGCTTGCACGGCGCTGCTGCGCAGCCCTGGGCCAGGCGACCCGGTTTGACTCCGACTCCGTGCCGATGCAGCCCGATCCGACGCACATTCTCGGACGGGGCTGGGACGAGGGCAGATCTGCTCCAGAGCGTTCCAGAACGCTCTCAGAGCGCTCGCCATCGCTCTGAGAAGGCCGCGGCGCCCGAGACATCCTCCAGTTCCGCTGCATCTCAGAGATTCTCGACTCATCCTCGCCCGATTGTATCCTCGTCCTGGCCTCGCCTTACATTCCGACTCGATCTCGTTTCCCGATTCGATGCCAGCAGATCTCGAGGAGGGAGCTTTCCCGCTCTGCGGGGTCTTCTGCGCGGAGTGCTCCTGCAACGGTGGCCCCCAGTTCGCGCTCAGCGCGAAGTTCTGCTGCCTGTCGGTCGGAATCGGCTTCAAGGCTCGGGTCTGACGGAAGGGTCCTTCGCCTACTTCCGCTGTTGGGGGTCAGCTTTTGGGGGGTCAGGCAAAGATAGGCTCAATTTCGCCGATTTCCCTTATTCGTTTTTTTGTTTTTTATCCAGAGCGAAGCCTTCCTTGCTTTCCCTGGGCAATTTCTCTGGAAATACTTGGCCCAAGCCAGTATTCTTTCCAGGAAATCTGACTCTGACGACCAGCAGTCTGACCCCCATGACCAGGCGAATGAAAGGGGAGACACGTCGAGTCGGGGATCGACTGCAGAATTCATGTGCCCCAAGATTGTTGCCCCATCGAATCTACGACAGATGGGCAGAACGTTCGCAGATCTACGCGACGGTCTACGTAAGTTTCTTAGGCTCGACGGGGAAACCAACTATGGGCTAAATGAATTCTGTAGGCGACCCCCCACTCGAACACGGAAACGGGGCGGTTATACGACACTTGCTGCGGGCAGCTGGTCGAGGCCTCGCCGCCGGGCGCTGCCCTGGATACACTGGCGCCTCCGGTGCCCGAGGCGCGTGCCAGAGGCGCCCAGAAGAACCGCCACGCGACCCGATTCGCGAACCCCAGAGGAATCCTCCGGTGCCGCTTGTTTCGATCCGCAGCCCCTGAGTTTCCGACACCTCTGCTGGAGGCAGCTCTGCGCCCCGGGTCGATTGTTGATGGTCCCAGGGCCCGATCCCGAGGGCCCGAATCGCAGGAGGAGAACGCCGCTTCAAAAATCGCGTTGTCGGAGAGCGGGCCTTGGCGCCTTCGGCGCAAAGAGGCGGCTGGAAATGCAGCTGCGTCACCTGATTCGCGAATTCCCCGTGTGCTAGCCCAGGCCCCCGACGTCATGATTTTGTTCATAAAATCGACCCCCAGAGTTCTCGACCCATTCCCTGGGACCGGCTTCTCATCCTGAGTCGCTTTTTGGCAGTCCCGAGGCCCAGTAAGGACCCCCAGAGGCCAGAAAAAGCGAAAAGCCTCCCGTCGTACTTTTTTCACGACTCGAGGGGGTCCAGGACCCCCCCTGTCGCCCGGCCCGCAGAGGCAGCGGTGGCGGCAGCCGTGGCCGCTTACGGTGCTGGGCAGGCCACCGATGGGTCGAAGGGTGCGCAGGCAGCGGCCGCTCTCGCGGCGGCGGGCGTCACGGACATGGTCGCCGCCGCCCTCCTTTTCCTCCACCCCTCCCTCCTCTCTCAATCTCTCTCTCTCTCTCTCTCTTGCTTTCAAGTGTCACGGGTGCGCAGACGGGCCCCTCGAGCGGCCTGATCACCGTACATTCGTGTTGCCCCCCTGGTGGCCGAGCCAGGGGCAGGGTCATGCCACCATTCCTGCTTCGTGCGCGGCACCTCCCGCGTTGTGAGGTAGGTATGCGAGGTGCTTGTAGCCTCGGGGCATGGACGAACCTCGTCCGAAGCGGTACGCATCTTTCTCTCTCTCTGTCTCTCTCTCTCTCTCTCTCTGTCTCTCTCTCTCTCTCTCTCTCCTCCTTCTCCTCCTCCTCCTCCTCCTCCTCCTCCTCCTGTCTCTCTCTCTGGCCACGCTGGTACTGCATTGCCGCTCGAGCTCCACTGCGCCACTGCGAGCCTCGCTTGGAGGATCTTTGGCCTGTTGCTCGTGTGGGCGCTGCGCCTGTCTCTCCCCGCGGGCCGCGGCCTGATCTCCTCCCTTGCTCTCGGGCGTCTCCCCCCCGCTCCGTGCGGATTTCTCGGATCTGCGGCCTCCCTGGCAGCGCCCCCGGCGCCGCCCCTGGCGCGCTCCGCGCGCCAGGGAGGGGCGGGGGGGGAGGGCGTGCAGCCCCGATCCCAGAGCGTCGCACGGAGCTCACCACCCACCAAACCACCCCAACCCAACCCGAAGGCCTCAATTTGCCCTCCATTTCCAGTGGGGGGGGGTCGGGGAACATCGAAAAAACACGTATGGAACCCATACGCCCCCCAACCCGAAATTCGGGTCTTCGGGTTGGGTTGGGGTGGTCTGGTAGGTAGTCAGGAGCTCCCGGAGTCCATGCCTGTGCAGACTTCTCTCCCTGCAGGTCGACGACTCCCAGTTCGACGTCAACTTCACGGAGGGCTGCTGGACCGAGGATCGCGGCTGTTGGTGTCCAGGGCTCCCAAACGAGGGCAGAGCAGACGGGGGACGGCGGGTGGCGCCGCATCGCCGATGCATTGGCGATGCGGCTCCATGGGGTTACCAGCCTGGAACATATCCCTATCCCTATGTTGGGCATCTCCTCATCACGATGACAATCTTAGGGCTTCCCTTGTTGCTCCCCTTATTTTTTGAGGGCGAGTCCCTAAGCTTGTCATCGCCTTTTGGCGTGTCAATTTTAGGGATAGGGATTCGTTCGAGGCTGGCTATGGGGAGCACGATGTTCTCCACGCCGAGGTCGCTGATGCATCGCCGACGTCGCTACGCGAACCTCCGATCCCCAGCTGCTCGCACCCCGCTTGGGGTGACCTCCACAGCGAGCCGGGGGTGAAGCTCGCGCAGACCCCGTCGCGTCGTGGAGAGGCCACGGCGGAGTGTTTTGGGCATCTGCTCGGCTTCGGGCGGGGCCCTTGCCGCAGGGGCCGCCACGAGGCTGCGAGGCTTTTCGCGGTTCGCGACTCGCGACTCTTCATCTCCATCCTCCTCGTCCGCCTCTTTGCCCCCGGGGGGCGGGCACGGGATGGCGAAGTGATCTGCGGTTTGCGCAGCGCGTGGCGCGAACATAGCTGCCCTTGTGCCAGGCCACGAGGCCGTCAGAAAACGGCTCGGGATGAAGCGCCGGCTCCAAGGAATGGGTCGAGGCCTCCTCGGCAGCTGGTCACTGGACCGCAGCGGATCCCCCATCCCATCAGAGCGGGGAAGCTCAGAGGTTTTAGAGAGCTCTCGGTCCTTGAGATCCGACGTTGCGAACCATTGCTGAAATTAACGACTGGAGCCCCTGGACCCCGATCCCCTGCGGCATCATTCGAGCCAGATCGATCTGTGATGGCCGAGACGAGTCGAAACTGCCCGGCGCTGACAAGAAGGTCACGCCAGGATCTCAGGGCCCATCCGCGGGGAACACCATCGGATTTTGGCGAGTTCTCCGAGGCCTCCGGGCCTCGGGGTGGCTCCCTGCAGCCGCGTGCCGCGCTCCGCCCTCAAGGGTCCGTGGGGATTCTCCGACAGGCCCCCGCGTGGTGTTGCCGAGCTGCGGCCCCGACAGCGCGGCCGATGGTTTCGCGCATTGCCATGGCCCATCCAGCCACGCGCCGCGGAGGGGTGGGGGGAGGAGGGAAGTCTTCTTAGGAGGAGGCTGCTTATGAGAAGGCGCGGGCCTTATCTATAGATGTACGGCCGGCGCCTTCCGACCAGCAGCCTCCTTCTAAGAAGCTTTCCCCTTTCCCCCTACCCCCTTGTGCGCGCCGCCAACCCATGGCCGTGTGCGTTCGTGGTGGCCGCACTCCCTCGCACAGGGGCCCGGCCAGGTCAGCTGCCTTCGCTGCGGCGGCAGCGCCAGGACCGCGGCGGCCATGCTGGGAGGGGCGTGCCTGGATTTTGAATCCAACCCAGCGGCTGAGACGGCGCATGTCTGGAGACGCGCCCACAACGGTCGACAAGTCGGCCCCAAGACTACGTTCGTTAAGGCGAAAGAAATGGTCAATTTCCAACACTTCGTTCGTCAAGACGCGAGGAGCCGCCAACTCGCCCCCGACGTTTTGCTCGTCAAAACCGAGGTCGTGTTTAACCACCCGCTCGTCCCCGACGCTTTGTTCGTCAAGACTGAGGGGGCGGCGACGGGGGCCGCCAAGGGGGTTCATCAACTCGGAGGGAAGCACCCACGGGGTTCGTCACCCCAGAAGAAGGCCGTCAACGGGGGTTCGTCAAGGGGGTTCGTCAACTTGGAGGGAGGCCTTCAAGGGCGTTCGTCAACTCGGAGAGAGGCCGTCAAGGGGGTTCGCCAACTCTGAAGGAGGCCGCCAAGAGGGTTCGTCAACTCGGAGTTGACGGCCAAATCCTTTCACTAAGATGGAGTTGACGGCGAAGTCCTTTCGTGAAGATGGAGTTGACGTCTCAAGCGCCGGATAGAGTATACATGGTCGTCCGTCGTGGCGTCCAGGCCCAAGCTCAGACCTGCCGTCCGCGACAGACTCAACCTGGAATGGCAGGTGCGCTTGCCGGCGCCAGGGCATGCCCCGCCCCTCCTGGGCAGCCTTTGCTGCGTGGGTGGGCAGTGCTGCAGATTTCGCCGGCTCGGCTGCGCGGCCTATCGCGTAGCTGCCGAAGGTGCCCGACTGAGCCTGTAACAACTTTCTGGGGCGCCAGCGGCCGCGCCGTTCGCCCGCTGATCGCTGATCGAAGAACAGAGCGAGGCACTCGGGTTGGCCCGTGCACGACAGGAGAGCACAACCACTACTGCGTGGATTTCTCAGGAGGGCCCCCCCAGGGCCTCAGGGGCGGAGGCACTTGTCAGGAGGGAAAAAACACACAGATACAATTACTCGTCGATCCCCAGGAAAATATGGGAAAATATGGGAAGTGGGGGGGAAGACGAAAATCCAAAAAATATGGGAAAAAAGGGAATCCTTTTATTTGTGTGTATTTCTTTGTGTGTCCCAGGGCTCCTTTAACTTGTCCCCCCCAGACCCGCTGCCTCTCCTCCTCCCGCTCCTCCTGCGAGCCACGCCTGCCATCGCTCGGAAGCGCACGGCACGAGGCGGCCGAGCCGCCCAGCACCCGCGTGCCTTCACACATGGCCAGCGGAGCCGCCACAGCGCAGGCCTCGGGGAAGACCCCACCGAGTACGGCAGGTTCGCGCGCGGCGGGAGCCTGCGCGGGAGAGCTCCCCCCCTCCGTGCGCGCGGGAGCCTGCGCGGGAGCTCGCGCGCGCGCGCGGCCCAGAGCTTCCGTGTGACCTGTGCTGCTTCCGCGCCGGGGCTCTCCGCTGCGGGCGCGAGCGCCCGCAGCCACCGCGGTCGGTGGAGGAACAACAACAAAAAAACGGTTCGCGTCGTGTCGACCTGCGGCGACCCCGCCGCCGGCGCTGAACGCCGCCGGCGACCCAGAATCGGTCGATGCTGAACGATCGAACGTTTCGGAAACGGCCGATCGTTCGAAGTGGAACGATCCACCGCGGTGTCAGAAGCCAAGGCCAGGGGGGGGGGCACGACACGAGCCTGCCGTGCGTTTTGCAGTGGCTGTGGTCGATTTGGCCGTCCTGGGACGCTCCTGGCTGACACGCGCAGGACTTCCCCCGGCTGGGCCGTGGCCCATGGCCGTGGCCCAGGCCCGCCGCCCAAGCCCGCTCTTTTCAGGAGGGGAAAACACACACAGACACAATTAATCGTCGATCCCCCAGAAAACATGGGAAAATATGGGAAGTGGGCGGGAAGACAAAAACCCAGAACATATAGGAAAATATGGGGAATATTTTTATTTGTGTGTATTTCTTTGTGTGCCCCAGGGCCCCTTCAAATTTGCGCGCAGCTGCGGAAGTTGGTGTTCTCCCAGTCTTTCTGCCTCTACCAGTGGCCCATGGGCGGGCTTTCCATCCCAGACGTGCGGCGTCTTCCTTTGTAGTGCGCCGTCCCCAGAAGCCCGGACCCGCGCCCCAGGGCAACACTCTCATCCCGAGCACTCCGGATCTCACAATAGTGGGGTGGGGGTCACAAAAGTGTTTGACGGCTCGTTTTGGACCCCCCAAAGGCGGCGCAACCGCACCAAAGTCCAGACCCTCCCAGAAGCATCGTTTGACGTTTCGATCTAGACCCCCCCACAGAGAAGCGTTCAGGCACAAATTGTTGGACCCCCCCAGAAAGACGACGTCGCAGACGATGGCGCCGGTGACGACATCGACGACGACCACGCGGCGACGATGACGACGGCGACGACGACGGTGACGACAACACCGACGACGATAACGACGACGACGACGCTGACGACGACGACGACGACGCTGACGACATCGGTGAGGACGGCGGCGAGTGCGGCGACGACGACGACAATGTCGACGACGACGGCGACACCGATGGCACCGAGGACGACGACGACGATGACGATGACAGCGACAGTGAGTGAGACGACGATGCAGACGATGACGCAAACGTCAGCGACGGCGACGACACCAACGACGTCGAGGACGACAAAGGCAACGCCGACATAGTACGACGACGACACCAGCGACGAGGACGACGAGGAGGACGACGATGACGCCGACGATGATGTCGATAACGACACCGACGACACCGATGACGACGACCCCGAATAGGCATCGCTCCGAATGGCTGTGGAGCGTGGCAGTGTAATGTAATGCATGTCATGGGCACGTCGTAATCATCATAACCACCATCATGAGCATCAGCATGATCGTGATGATTATCATCATCGGCATCATCATCGCCATCAGCATCACCAACGGCATCCTCCATATGGTCATCATCAGCATCAACATCAGCATCGTAATCATCGTCAACGGCATCGTCATCATAACCATCATCATCATCATCATCATCAACATCATCATCATCATCATCATCATCATCATCATAGTCACCCATCATCGACACCATAAGCATCAGCATAACCATAACCACCATGCTCATCGTCATCGTCATCATTGTATCTCCGTCAGCATCATCGTGATGGTGTTGATGATATTGATGGTGATGATGCTGATGATGATCAGGGTCCTAAGGACCACCTGCATGATGATGACGATGCTGACGACGACAACGGTGATGATGGTGGTGGTGGTGATGATCACTATTTGAACGTGTTGTCCTTCACGACAGGTGTGGAGTTGGAGTTTGTGTGGACGCGCCATTGCGGCTTCTTTCTTCTACGTCGGTCTGAAAACGCGTTTCATGGTGTGTGTTTCCGATGCTATGTTTTCCCTCATGCCAGTTGTGGGAGCAGACTTTGCGTGGAGCCGTCGTCGCTTTTTCTTTTCCCGCACTGAAAAGTTGTAATCCTATGTTTGTCGGAAGGTTTTCCTTCATGCCAAGTCTGGATTTGGAAATTGTGTGCACGCGTCCGCGCGCTTAGGTCGGCGTCCTTGTCGTCGGTGTCCCCGTCTTCATCGTTGTCGTCGAGATCGTCGACGCCCTCGTCTTTTTCCTTGCCGTCGTCGGTGTCGTCATCGGCGTCGGCGTCGTCGTCGTATTCGTTCTTGTCGTCGCGGTGTCGTCGTCATCGTCGTGGGTGTCGTCGTCGTCGGTGTCATCGTCGTCGGGTTCGTCGTAGTTTTCGTTGTCGTCTGTGTCATTGTCGTTTGCTATCGTGGTCGTTCTCTTCGTCGTCAACGGCGTGATCGTCGTCGTCGTCGCGGTAGTCGGACTCGTCGTCTTCGTCGTCGTCGTCCTCCTCGTCGTCCTCCTCGTCCTCTTCGTCGTCGTCTGCGTTGTTGTCCTCGGCGTCGGCGTCGGCGTCGTCGTCGCGGTGGTCGTCACTGTCGCGGGCGTCGTGGTCGTCGGCGTCGGCGCCGTCGTCAGGGAGCTGGCGACTGGCATGGAGCTGGACCCCTCCCCAAGCCATCATAAGATGTCGACAACTTGTAGACCCCCCAAACGATTTGCATGACAACCCGAAGTAGACCCCCCTTGGGAGGCAAGTGAGATTCCAAAATCGAGACCCCCCGAAATCTTGTTTGACGAGGCCTGTTAGACCCCCCCAAAGTAGACCTCCCCCCATTATTGTAAGATCTGGAATCGTTTTCGGACGGTCCCGGAGCCTGGCGAGGGCTTCAGGAGACCCAAAACACAGCCGAAAACCTCCCGTCGCGATTTTTCTACGACGCGGGCATGCTTGGGACAGGACCGTGGCTGCTGCGAGATCGTGGCGAAGCTGACCTGCTGCTACGCGGAGGTGCAGCTCCCCCCTGGCAAGGATCCGGGGCGTCGAACAGGGGGGTATGACCAGGGGGGTGGATATCATGGCCGGGGCCATGGTATCTCCCCAGGTGCTTCATGTTCCCGCTTCCTTCTTCGTCTTCCTCGTCTTTCAGCACGTTCACTGCCCCCCTCCCCCTGGTCCGCGCACGCGCCTTGGGCCATGATGCGCCCCCCCCTGGACGCCCCTGAAAGGACATCGGCTGCGCGTGCTGCGGCATGCGCTGCATGGACGGCGACGCGGAGGCGCGCGAGCCAGCCGGGGGCTACGAGAGGCTGGCGGGGCCTGCCCAGCAGACGATGTGAGCGCCTGAGGCCCGTCTCCGACTCCGCCCTGCTCGGGGTGCAGCCTCCGGGGAGGTGGAGTGAGGCATCGGCGTCGCCTGGCCCGCCTCCGTGCTCCTCCCCCCCCCGAGGTCCCGGCGTCGCGCCTCTCCGTCGCGCCGGGCGATCCTGCCTCCTTTCGGGCTCCGAGGCCCTGGCGCAGCGATCCGGTCTGAAAGACGCGGCAGGAGGAGGGGTTCCGGGCTCCGGCCGCTGTTTTTCTTCACGGTGTCGTATCTGTTGCGCGGCGTCGGATCTCAGTGGCCGTCCTCCCCTGACCTTCCAGGAGGGCTAAAAAATAGCACCAGGACGTCGACGTCCTAATTCCTGTCGAGGTTTGAGGCAGTCCAGATAGATCTATAGGTCTGGAGTGCTATTTTTTAGCGCTCTGGAAGGTCAGGGTCGCCAACCCCCTCCAGTCCTCCCTGCTCCATACCGGGGAGTCCCTGGTGGAGTCCGCCCTCGGACCGCTGTATCCGAGACGCCTGCGGCGAGCCACCACCGCGCCCCGCCTTTCGGAAGCGTTCGTGCCGTGGAGCGTCGAGCGGGAGAGCGACCACGCTAGGGGACAGCGGGCTCCTCCAGCCGTCGAGGAAACTATTAGGTAAACATGAAACGACGCGAAGATCGGGACAAAATCGGATCGGGATAACTCGAAATCGGCGGGTTTGGAGGATGTATTGGGCGCCGCGGCCGCTCCAGAGCGTTCCGGAACGCTCTGAGAGCGCTCCGGAACGCCCTGGGCCGATTTATCCCGATCCTAGCCCTGTTTTAAAACACATGGGAGGGGCCGTCTTGGGACCGTCTTGGCGCTCGCGTCTGGCCTTCGGCGTCTTCTGGGGAGGCTCCTGGGGCCCACTCGGGCCCTCTTGGGGATCTCTTGGGCCGTCTTCGGGCGGTCTTGGGCGGTCCGGAGCATTCGGGGCCGTCTTGGAGGCCTCTCTAGTCCGTCTTGGGATTCTCTTAGGGCTCTTTAAGGGCCACTTGGGGCGCTCTTCGGCCATCTTGGGGCCCTCTCGGGGCCGACTTGGGGTACTCTTGGGCCGTTCGGGAAGGCGTGGGGCGATCTTGGAAATAGGACACGAAAAGCATGGGTCATGTGCGGAGGTAATAGTAAGCCGGTGCTGTGCATCTACTTGTTAGGACCCTCATTGGGGGTCCTGTTGAAGCCCTTGTGTGGCGTCTTGGAAGCGTCTTGTGCTGTCGTGGTTCCTTCTTGGGCCGTCCTGGCGACCATCTAGGACCGTCTCGGCCTGCGTTGCGCCGTCTTCGAAGCCATCTTGGCCATCTTGGACACGAGTTGTCTTGATTTTATGGTCGTGACGCGGATGTCGTGACGCGGATTCTGGGCGTCTGGCGGGGCGGGTCGAAGACCACCAGGGTGATTTGGAGGGGCCAGCAAAATTTTGTAAATTCGACACGCCACGCAACCCTGCGCCAAGCACAGGGGGCGACGGATCGAAGACGCCTACGGCGAATCATCTCCGCCCTTTGTCTTTTTGGGAACGCCCATGCGGCCAAACGTTGGACCGAAGTTTGGCCAATTTTTGAACTATGTGTTCCCCCAGCCGTTGCGGAACGCCTGGGGGGAACATATGGGAGAGGAAGAATCGACAGGGGGAGGCGAGGGAGGAGACGAGGAGAAGGAAGAATACGTGGAAGCCTCTTCAGGCCCTCTTGGGAGCTCCTGGAGGTATCCTGTGAGCCTCTGAGGGGCCTCTGAGGGGCCTCCAGGGGGCCCTCCTGGAGCTTCTTGTTGAGGCCTTTTTGGTGCTTCTTGGATTTCTTGACCTTCGGAGGCCGTCTTGGAGCTTTCTCTGGGCAGTCGTGGGTCCCTCTTTGGGCGCTTTAGGACCGTCTTGGAGGTCTAAGGGGCCGTCGTGGGGACCCCTGGGCCGTCTTGGGGCCCTCGTGGGCCGTCTTGGGGGTTTCTTGTAGGCCTCTTGGGCCGTCTTGGGGCGATCTTGAGGGCCATGTGGCCGAAAAGGCGAGAACGCTAACACCACTCAAGAACCTGTGGAACAAATCAATGATTCTGGCCTCCTGGACGTCCTCTTGGAACCCTCTTGGGACGTCTTTGGGGGTTTTGTCTTGGGCCATCTTTGGGCCATCTTGGGTGCATCTCGGCCCGTCTTGGAGACATCTTGGGGCCATCTTGGGCTCTCGTGGGGCCATAGCCGTCTTGAAGGCATCGCGGGTCCCATCTTGGGCCATCTCGGCTGCCTTGGAGGCGAGTTTTCCTGTCTTTCTCGCTTTCCAGGCCCTTCCGGGTGGCCGGCACGATCGGCCGAAACCGTAGTGGGAATTTTGAAAAAAAATTGGGACATCTGGCACGCCGTGCGCCTCTGTCGCAAGCCACAGGGGGCGAAGGATTTAGTGGCTTTCGCCCCAGCCCACTACTGTGCCTGCATTGTGGGCCAGGGGCGTATCATGGCCCTCTCGGGAGGTCTCTGGCAGGGGTCCTTGGTGGCCTCTTCAGGGCCTCCTGGGTGACTCTTGAGTTTGGGGCCCCTGGTCTGGCGAGCCACTTCGAATTCCCCCTTTGGGGCATCTCTTGTGGTCGTCTGGGCGTCTTGGTTCTTGCGGTCTTGGGGGCCGCCTCGGGCGATATTTGGAGCATCTGGCGACGTCGTGGACGCTGTCAAGAACGAAAAGGCGGTAATGCTGCAGGCTCCCGGGATCCCCAAGAAAGCCTACGACAACCTCCAGCGAGCCCGAAGACGATACGGCGCTTGGGAGCCCCAACAGCGCGTCCAGGGCCTCGAGGCTCTGGGAAGGCCCGCGAGCACACGATTCCCTTGGAAATCGGCGGCCTGGGCAGCATGGGCATCCATCTAAAGTTCGGGAAGGGAGGTGGTGCAGATGGTCATGGCGCGATCGCGCGATTTTATTGTGTTGCCATCGATGCGATCCGCTCTGCGCATGGCACATCGCACGGCACGGGCGCCCACATGATTCACCATTCGTGCTTTGCTTTTGCACCACCAGCCATGCACATGATTCACCATTCGCGCATGTAACGTGAATGGGCCCAACACTGGAGCATTGGCAGACGAGAAAATTGCTTTCTCGGGGTCAACTTCCGGAATCGCGTTTTTCGATTCCGGAAATTCTGAAATCATTGGTTGTCATGGTGGTCAGGGCCCTCCAAGCCAGGACATTGCTTAACAGGACTTTTGAAGTTCGAATTGAATAGAACGACGAATTTAGAATGCTTCGATTCGACCCACGATTGTTTTTTCCCAACCATCCTGTGGTGTTGGGTCCTCGTTTTGAAGAGACGGTGCCCCGCGTTCCTCTCCTCCTCCTCTCCTCCTCCTCCTCCTTGCCTCTGCTCTCGGCACACCTCTCACGCGTTTCGTAGCCCCATAGGGAGCTCCACCGAAGGCCCCAGTGGGGGTGTTCGCATGCGGTCCCCCCACCCAGGGCAGCGTTTCGTGGCCCCATAGGGAGCTCCACCGAAGGCCCCAGTGGGGGTGTTCGCATGCGGTTCCCCCACCCAGGGCAGCGTTTCGTGGCCCCATAGGGAGCTCCACCGAAGGCCCCAGTGGGGGTGTTCGCATGCGGTTCCCCCACCCAGGGCAGCGTTTCGTAGGCCCATAGGGAGCTCCACCGAAGGCCCCAGTGGGGGTGTTCGCATGCGGTTCCCCCACCCAGGGCAGCGTTTCGTGGCCCCATAGGGAGCTCCACCGAAGGCCCCAGTGGGGGTGTTCGCATGCGGTTCCCCACCCAGGGCAGCGTTTCGTAGCCCCATAGGGAGCTCCACCGAAGGCCCCAGTGGGGGTGTTCGCATGCGGTTCCCCCACCCAGGGCAGCGTTTCGTGGCCCCATAGGGAGCTCCACCGAAGGCCCCAGTGGGGGTGTTCGCATGCGGTTCCCCCACCCAGGGCAGCGTTTCGTGGCCCCATAGGGAGCTCCACCGAAGGCCCCAGTGGGGGTGTTCGCATGCGGTTCCCCCACCCAGGGCAGCGTTTCGTGGCCCCATAGGGAGCTCCACCGAAGGCCCCAGTGGGGGTGTTCGCATGCGGTTCCCCCACCCAGGGCAGCGTTTCGTAGCCCCATAGGGAGCTCCACCGAAGGCCCCAGTGGGGGTGTTCGCATGCGGTTCCCCCACCCAGGGCAGCGTTTCGTGGCCCCATAGGGAGCTCCACCGAAGGCCCCAGTGGGGGTGTTCGCATGCGGTTCCCCCACCCAGGGCAGCGTTTCGTAGCCCCATAGGGAGCTCCACCGAAGGCCCCAGTGGGGGTGTTCGCATGCGGTTCCCCCACCCAGGGCAGCGTTTCGTGGCCCCATAGGGAGCTCCACCGAAGGCCCCAGTGGGGGTGTTCGCATGCGGTTCCCCCACCCAGGGCAGCGTTTCGTAGCCCCATAGGGAGCTCCACCGAAGGCCCCAGTGGGGGTGTTCGCATGCGGTTCCCCCACCCAGGGCAGCGTTTCGTGGCCCCATAGGGAGCTCCACCGAAGGCCCCAGTGGGGGTGTTCGCATGCGGTTCCCCCACCCAGGGCAGCGTTTCGTGGCCCCATAGGGAGCTCCACCGAAGGCCCCAGTGGGGGTGTTCGCATGCGGTTTCCCCCACCCAGGGCAGCGTTTCGTAGCCCCATAGGGAGCTCCACCGAAGGCCCCAGTGGGGGTGTTCGCATGCGGTTCCCCCACCCAGGGCAGCGTTTCGTGGCCCCATAGGGAGCTCCACCGAAGGCACCAGTGGGGGTGTTCGCGTGCGGTTCCCCAACCCAGGGCAGCGTTTCGTGGCCCCATAGGGAGCTCCACCGAAGGCCCCAGTGGGGGTGTTCGCATGCGGTTCCCCCACCCAGGGCAGCGTTTCGTGGCCCCATAGGGAGCTCCACCGAAGGCCCCAGTGGGGGTGATCGCATGCGGTACCCCCACCCAGGGCAGCGTTTCGTGGCCCCATAGGGAGCTCCACCGAAGGCCCAGTGGGGGTGTTCGCATTCGCGGTGCCCCCACCAGGGCAGCGCTTCGTGGCCCCATAGGGAGCTCCACCGAAGGGCCCCAGTGGCTGCTCTCGCATGCGGTCCCCCACCCAGGTGGCAGCGTTTTCGTGGCCCCATAGGAGCTCCACCCGGAGGGCACCCAGTGGCTGCTTCGAGCGGTTCCCCACCCAGGGCAGCGCTACGTGGCCCCATGGGGTGGCTTCACCGAAAAAACCCCCGTGGCGCAGTTTCGCATTGCGCTTCCCCCAACCAGGGCAACGTTTCGTGGGCACCATAGGGAGCTCCACCGAAGGCCCCAGTGCGCAGTTCGCATGCGGTTCCCCCACCCAGGGCAGCGTTTCGTAGCCCCATAGGGAGCTCCACCGAAGGTCCGCCCCGGTGGCGCAGTCCGCATGCGGTTCCCCCATCCAAGGCAGCGCTTCGTGGCCCCATATGGAGCCCCACCGAAAGCGGCACCCACAACGCGTTACCAACAATTGCTTATGGTTGGGTCTTTCGCCAGGATAATTTGTAGGGTACGCCAATGTCTCGGTTTATCATGCTCCCTACCCTAAGGTGGAGTTTTCAGGACGTCGTTTC